ATGATGAAGGAACAATGGATGTCATTAGTACAGTTAAACAAACGAGCACAGTAAAACAAACACTGGTACAATTGGTTATAATAATGATTGTTTCTATTAAGCCAATAGCGTTCTCTTGATAAAAGTAGGTCAATACAGACTCATGGTCCCAATTATTAGAAAGGTTAAGAGCCATAAGGGGTGTATTTTTAAAATTGGTATTGTAATACGGAACACACTTGAATGCTACCTATGGCCATCAATTTGAATAGTAGGTTACAAGCAATATACAGTTTATTATAAAGTCTCACTAGAAATTAACATTTGACTTTTGAAAAACAAAAAGAATCTTATTTTTTACAACTAAGCAAATTAAGTGTTTAAAGTGAGAAAAAACATCGTATATCTGCGTAGCATGAAACTTCACTGGATGGTTAGATAGCTTAATGATGATTTCTTTCACGGATTACTAGTTTAGCTATTGAAGACAAATTTGGAGTGGTATTAAGTTACTCTTGATATGATCTTGCACTAATAAGGCCGGTAACCTTTTGTTTGTTGGTAGCTTTCAAACACATTCTCCTTATTATTGTATCCCTTTATAGTCATATTTATATCCTCTGGAAGAAAGTTGGATTTCCTAAATAGGGGTTTAAAATCGTGCTGGTGATATATTTCACTGAATAAAATTTTTCTGCACCTCTTTAATATCTGAACTAATATTTCAAATTTCTAATGAAAGTGTGGCTAGGACGCTTTTAATTTCGAAAATACAGTGGCTGGTGACTAACTGAGAATAGCTGGGTTCCTATTTTACTTCCAACACTTTTTCTTTTTAACAAGTAATCGATTTCGGATACTTATCTCGTTAATGGCTGGATTGCACAAGCTATTTTTTACAGAACATGAATCACATAACCTAGAGGTGAAAATGTTTATGTATTTTGTGTATTTTCGCACTTTAAACCTACATTTAATTTACTACCCAACCACTGTTTTGATATCGTCATGCTGATATTATGAACTCTAGGAATTTCGAACGTTATATTTATACTCTGTGGTATTTGTGCTAACTGATGATTCTTTTGTACTTGATTGCGCGTGGATTACGAATTTCGAGTATAATACGTCTATTTCAGCTCATCTAATTCTACTTGTTTTAAATAGCACTATTTCGGAAATTCTTGGTTGGCATATTGATTTTCATACTTTTAAATATAAAAATTGAGTCACAACGGAGACAAATTTTTAACGGTTGAATGCTAATGCAATCAGAGATAACTTTGGAGAATACATAGAGTACCTCGCAAATAACCAGAAAATATATTAGAGACGATAAATTTGCAGCTTATTTCCTGAAATTGATCGGCAAAGAGTCTCATAACCTGATTAAGAATTCGGCTTTCCCAGAAAAACCAATATCATAGTCATGCAAATCTCCCAAGTAATTACTGCTTAATCATGTCCAGTGTCCTCGTTTTAAATGCCTAAAGAGATTGGAGTTTCATAAGATGGTGCGACAAAATGATCAGGACGTTAAAGACCATTTACTTGGAATACAGAAATAAACGAGGAAGGGCAATTTTGAAAACTGAATTTCGTAATCGATTGATTGCTGGGATAAGTATTCCGGATTTAGAAGGAGAAATAACTCAGAAACCTCAAAGCTAATTCCATGAAATTAAAACATGATGTATTAACTAATAAGCAATGAGTGGGTTTGATTTCCAGTCGCCGAAAGTTTCTGATGCTTTGTTTAGTCGCCGAGATAAACTACATTCTGAAAGTCACTCAAGCTCGCGTTTGGTTAATAATCGTTCCTACTTTCATAGAAGGATGAAAGATGAAGCAGGTTACAGAGGTGAACACAAGTGTGGTATAAGTTTATCCTGTAGTAAATTCTATTTACGTAATTCATGAGTCTTTCGTCTACTTATTGCTTTAAGTTGTAGTGTCAGTTACTATGTTAAGCCCATATACTGTATTCTAACTTTCGGACATACCATTCTATTCATTCTACTTGAGTCATACTTTGACCTTGTTATTTATTCGCTTATCAATCTAGACTGTTTTTATATGAGCGTATATGTGTGTGCTCTTCTTATCCCATTAATCACATGTCTGTAGCTTTATTTTGTCTGACTATAAACATTGAGTCACTCTTGACTAATGGGGAGTTGGCTTACCAGCCATCTCCACTGCGCATCATTTTTACTTGGCTTCACCGTGTGCTTGCTTGCTGTATGCTTGCGGATTTTTATTAATCATTAACAATAAATTATCTCTACGACTGGTGTTCAGGCTTTTGAATAATCTCGAGTATATCCGTAATTCTATTAGGAGATTAAGCCTACCTTATATACTCAGTTAACGGGATATTATTTATCGGAGTCAGATATAGAGGACATTAGCCTCAACAAAGTAAAGTAAAGTGAAACACAACAAGTTGGTTCGTAAAGCTACTGTTAATTTCGTCAATAATGTTTGTAAACCCTATGATTCATGAAGGTGTGTGGTTCTGGATATCATTTGTCTTTATCCACCATTTCGAAAGGTAATTTTTATATTCTAAAGCAATTACACATCTACTTCCATTCATTTCATGAATTATTGTTGACACAGGTCATGTAGAGTCCATTATTTCATTTAAAAACTTGCAATCCTTAGATTCTAACCTTGTAGCGGGACCCAATAAAGTTCCAGTATTAGAGATTACTGGGCACAAAGTGCTCACATGAGGATGCTGGAAACCGCTATTGAGAGACGGTATTTCTTTACACCTCCTTATGAAGATTTAGTTAATGAAATAAGACAATCAATACCGGGTTTGGACAATTTGAAGGGGCTTACAGTGGATGTATTTTTATGGGTTTCCAAAAAGGTCTCGTGATTTACTTGTAGATTTGATAGCTACAGGTGCTGCATGCAGTGGAGGGATGACAATTCAGCCTATAAGACTTCAAGTACAGAGTGATTCACTCTTTCTAAAAAGACGAATAATTCGTTATGGTCTTTGAGAAACAGTACATCATACATTAGACGATTTACGTGCAAAAAGCATAATTTATTCGATTCAGTCTTCAGAATGGGGTACTCCTATTTTCAATCCCTTGAAGTCTGATAGGATGACCGCAAGAATATGTACTGATGACTATAGATTAACACTGAACTCATTTGTTGAAGTAAACATGCACGAACGTCGAATTTGTGGTTCTAGGGTGTTTTTAAAGTTGACTTAAAATCCACTGTTCTTACTGGTCATGAAGCCTTAAATTTCACTTATCATACAGATCTCGTCCAGATCTCATTAGAGAAACTCGTTGATACCTAAGATGCATATTAATTGCCAAACGAAAAGGTTGGAATGCTAATCCGAAACGTAGATTTCCTGTTTATTTTACAAGGGGAATGAGCTATCCACTACTTTGATGGTTTTTGTATTTAAAGGACTGTGCTGCTATCCCTCCTTCATTATGTGAATCTGTCGACGAAGAAATTTATAGTGGGTATATTGGTGTTGTGGAAATGAAGTCCTTGGCAAATTCACATATACACCGAACAATTGTGAGAAATGTCATAAGTCGAAAAGTCATCCTTAGAAGTGGACTCCGTGGCCAGTATCTTCTGATGCCTGTCAGAGAATTAATACAAACTACCGTGGTCCACTTCTCAGAAAATACCACGCACTTGTCATTGATTCTTTTTCTCAGTGACCTGACGTTTTCTTCACGGCTTCTCCAAATTCCGAGTTTACAATTCAAGCACTAAGAAAAGTTTTTAGTCGGGAGGGGATTCTTACGGTGTAAGTGACTGATGACGGTCCATATTTAGCTGCAAACGCACTCACCACACGGTAAAATGATAGAGGGTTCAGACGTCCAATCACTGATGTCATACACACGTGTTTTCATGGTTAGGAGAAAATTTTCCCCAGGACATCGATAACTGTTATTAATTCCATCGTTGCTGCAACATTTGATGAACTGTGGGGGGAGAGTAGACACACTATAACTCCAATAAGAAAATGCTAAACATTCTGTGACGAAAAAGACTTCACCGGAGTTATGAGAAAAGAAGGATACCCCGTTCGAATATCAGGTGTTTAGAAGCTACAGATGTTACATATTATCGTTAGAATGATCTTCGACAAACCGAGGAGCTTGTGGTGAAGAACGTTGAAAAACCTATGGTTCGAATTCTATATACCAATGATTTATGTACACCCAACCGCCATGTTGGTTAAATACAGTGCCAGGAACCGCATGAGTCCGTTCTAATTTCCGTTGTTGATTCTTGTTTTAAAGAGTATATTCTAGATCATACAGAGGCTACATCTTATACACGGTTGGACAGACACTCGAAGAAATTAAACCACAGAAATTCTGACTCTCACTTAGTTTACGGTGGTTATGGTATTTGTGCCAACTGATGATCCTTTTGTACTTGATTGCGCGTGGATTACGAATTTCAAGTATAATACGTCTACTTTAGCTCATCTAATTCTACCTGTTTTAAATAGCACCATTTCGGAAATTCTTGATTGGTACATCATTCGAATACTTCTAGATGTCATGTATTTTCTTTAAGATGAAGCAGTAATGCGAAAACATTGTATATTGCCAGCCAAAAGATTTGAAGAAACGGAGATTGCTATTCTTTACAAGACATTAGGCAGTTCACCAATCAATTAACGACTAATTGAATCTTAAAAGTACAGCTAACTCCAGAATACCAAAATTAAAATTTGTCAACCCATCAGGCTTTTCATTACACGTTAGCCACTAGTAATGCTCTTCGAATCGGAATGTATTTGAAGATAAACATAGTTGCATGCAAAATACTTCATTGAGCTCAGAATTACGAAGAAGTGATTTCTAAAAGCGCTCTACGATCCTTAACACATGTCAAAATACTAAGCTGTACTTAATCAACATGTACTCGCAGACATGAAAAATGACGTTTATCCACCCATTAGCACACAATCTTGACATATAGTTGCATAAACACTAAATATTGGATCATGAAGATGGAGGTCATATATTGGCACAACATTAAACTGCCATCCTTGACCTTGGTCTTCTGTGAGTTTCCACATATCCCGGACATTAATGTCGGAGTGCTACAAAATTTCCAAAAGTATCAAATTGCTACTTAGAATGTTTCGCTAGTTAACCTATTAAAACACGGGCCTTCGGCTTTTACATCACTATTTGTTCCATAATGTCTATCTAACTCAATTCGCTACAACCTTTTAGTTGATGATTGAACTCACCATTATTCAAGTTTGAATTCCCAACTTTCGAAGCGTCCACAGGAATAGCGAAATGTCAGTCGACTTTTTTCTCCCATTAAAAGTCTCCTTGACGGGTGGTGTTGTGAACATAATTAAGAATGTTGAGATAATTCGTCTGAACATTTCAGATTTCTGGTATTGTTTCAAGTGTTCCAGTGAATCATCAAACATTATTTTTTAAAAAACACGAATATACGATGGTATTACGTTTACTTTTTTTAATAATTTCGTAAATTATTCTGTATCTTTGTTTTCCAGCCAAATTCCTAAATCGACTCCACATTAACTGTATATGCGTTTTAAACATGGTACTGACTCCAATATTTCGCCTAGAACAAGATGAAAAAAAACTTAAAGTCATCATTCATGCTCCACTAGCTAAAATATCTGAAATGGAAGTATGCGTTGAAGAACAAACTTTTTATTTTGACTCCTCCCCGTACTATCTCAAGTATTGCCTCAATTGTTTCTCATTGATGTATTTAGATTCGATATTCCAGGTTCTGTATTAACGGATGAAGATACTTTTGACTATGAGCTCATCGACGGTGACATACACATTACATTGGAGAAGTCTAAACCAGGACTCTTCAAGGATTTAGATTTAATCACAAAATTGTTGATAACTTCGTCTGAAACAAAGCCGTCCAAGTGTTTGATTGAAGAATTGAATGATACTGTTGAACAACAAAAGTGTTGGTCATTGGACTGGTTTAGCGATTCAAAAAGTATAAGTTCAACGCCAGAAGATGTGGTTCTTTCTAACCCAACTTATGGTTTTAGTGGTTCCAAATCTGGACTGTTCCAAGTTGAGGTAATGTACTTCCTTTTCAAATTGATACTCAAGTGGTAACTTTATCAGAGACCTAAGCATGTTTCGCAAGTGTATATCTGTCAGTTAGCTCATAACAAAGAAAATCCAAGTCAATCAACTAATTATATAATATATATATATGGTTAGAGGTTCTTCGTAGATATGATTGCAGGCTACTTGGTTGGAGCCTCCACTAGTAAAACGACCAGTGGTTGAAGATTTTCGGCGGCATGGTTCAGATTCGGTCACAATAGCGCAAATAAATTTACTCTTCACTGCTTCAAATTGAAAGTTGTAACACTATTTTCCACTTTGTTTCATACATTCATTTCTTTCCCTTGATACTGTAAATACCCTTAAGACTCCGGCATAGTTCTTGATGATTTCATCTTACTTTACTGATTTGATTTGGCTAGTTAAACCAATACATATATATCCCCGGTTCTATGTTGTTTATGACTAACCGATTAATTAGAAAGTCACATTAACGTAATGTCATTTTCTTAAATATACCTCGTTTAACATCCTCTCTTGTTTTTCAACCTTTTTGAAAATGCTACTTAGTCTGATTTAACACATGCAGTGGATCTGCCTCATCCAGATTCGGTTGATGTTTTCAAACGATCAGAGCTTAGAAAAGTGGATGAAGAGAAGAAATTTCTTGTCGATCATTATCTGTGAGTTTTTTTTATGGGTTTCTTCTTCACCTGCTTACTGCTGAAAAATATGACAAACCCGTCTATTACACAGACTAAAATATATTTTATAGTAGTGTATATCAACAGACAAATATTATGCAGCATTACTGTGTGGAAAATGCATTTGAAAATCATCCAGGAAAAATGAATAAAAAGTACTAAAAGATAGATAAAAACAGAGAAGCTAGGTTTCGTTCCGTTAGTAAGTACATTTTACCATTTATAGGACAAAACCAGATTATCACTGGCTTTAACTTTAAGCTGTATTAAATTCCTAAGTTGCTGAGTTGTAAAATAATTCATAAAACTCCATCCATACCGTGATAGGTAATCAATAGACTGATGTAACGAAATTCAGCAGCAACATTCAAAAGTTCAGTTGTGCTATTGAATAATTACGAATATGGACTGTAATTTTTTGGTTTTAATCTTCCTACAATTATTTATATCTAGTTGATCTTGGTGAAAAATATATGGCCTAAAATTTCAAGTTGGTTTCTAGTATTTTACTGAACTCACCAACCGATCAAAGTTAGACACTCATTGAAAACCTTAAAACAATGGACGGCCGTTTCATCCTGGTATAAAAGTACACGGAAGTGCGCATCCACAATCCCAACACTGATCTAGAAGTTAAGGGGTCTTGTACAAGACCAAAGACTGGCTTCGATTCCCGCGTGTGGAGTTGTGGATGCACACTGCTAAGGAGTCTCGTACAAGGGTGAACCAGCCGTCCAGAGCTTTCATGTTTCCAATAGTTGTCTAATTTTGGTCGACCTGTGATCTTAGTGAAATTCAACAATCTTCATAGCCCTCTACAGATAGTTTCTAGCAGACTAATACTATTATGCTATTCAATTTCCCTGTTTTTCAAGAAGGAGTTGGAAAAAACTGGGTTAATTCAGTTGTCAGACGAACTTAATTGATTTATTTAGCGTTCAAACCTTCCCTGTTTTAGATAAATGTATTTTGCGAATGGTTTTATTAGTGAGGTTTCCTTATGAAAAACTTTCTCTTAAATGCCCTGAAAAAATCTGGGGAATACTGTTTACAGTTCTTTTCAATGTTTATGTTACTTTTGATTGGTCCAGTTTATCCACCAGGGCAAAATTATCTAATAAATTCATTTTTCAGGCACAACCTTGGGCCACCTTCTGAGTGTGAAGGTTAGTAGTTCTAGTCAATTACCCAGGCCGAAGTAGGTGGTGCTGGATTCGAACATGCAGCTTGATGGATAAAAGTTGACCACCTAAACCACTGAGCCATTGGTCCACTCAGATACCTCGTTTTCTTCAGTTTAATATGAAGTTTTAGAATTTGCTACCAATATGAATTCATGTCATAATTTTCATTCTAATCAAGACTTAAATTTGTTCGTTTGTATACTAGTAGCTGTGAGAATTGTCTATCGCCACGCAGCCATAACTTTTAAATCTCTCAATGATAATTATCAAAAGAAAACAACCATTCTTTATCATGGTACAATAATTATATATGCCTATCCATATATACCTAGCAGCTGAGAGTCTTTTAACTTTAAGTGATCTCCAATAAGTTTAGTAAACCTTAATGCATTTGGTGCGGTCGAGGCAACCGAGTATAGCATTTCTAACCTTCACTATTTTATTCGAACATCCCGGAAATTTAATTGTTTTCAACTTTCTCAACAATTAAATCACTTAAACATTTATCATTCGACTAGGGTCCATCATCCATCGATGAGCGTTTGACCCACCATTTTAACAATTGGCATGTGTTTATAGTGCTACCCTCCTTCAAAATAAATGATGAACCTGGCTACGCCTGTTTTTACCTTCATTTCCATCTTATTTTGTTCATTTTTCTGTATTATATTCAGTAACTAACATCACTGTCGATCATTTTTGAGCAGATTACCTATAATGTCCCTTCATTATTGTGTGTTCTATTTCTAAGTATTTAAATAAAACTAATATTTTATTTCGTTTATTATTTTTATTCTGTTTACTGAATATTTTGACAATAACCTTCATCTCCTATGTATTTATTAATAAATTGTTTATTTATGATGGTTTTCATATTTTACGTTTATAGTTCCCGTTTCTATTTGTTGACTATCATTGACACAGCCACTATCTGCTACTTAGTTTATCCTGTTTTTTTGTAAATAGTCTTTATATAACTATTGAAGAAACCAGTCCTTTTTCGATCGTATTCTGGTGCATGTATATGCTTCATAAACTTCACAAAATGAGGTTTTTTAGATACATTGCTTATATTATCATTAGTGTAATAGTACTACTGTATTGTAGACAAGTATCCTACATTGATTCCGAAATTGTCAACGTCATTCAATCGTTCGGTCTAAATGTTTTAACAGATTTAACATGTGATATAATTTCTTTTTAGAAAATCAATTTCCAGTCATTAATATTCAATACTTGTTTTCTCTATTATTCATATTTGTTTCTGTTCTTATTTTCCTCTCCTTTTATAATCATGATTGACAAACATCAGTGCTGATTATTTCGAATCGGACTCATGGATTCATATGAAAAACATTGATTTACCATGGTCTATTAATAATAATACTAATAGTTTACCAGAATTCTCATCTGATGAACGTCATCGTCTAATCACTTTATCAACTCGTCGACTTCCCCTTCAACCTGATAATGCTTTGGAAGAAAAAATGATATATTTAGGCCTACTCGATCTATTATTTGCTTATATATATGATTACAGAGTTCGTGAAGGTGAGACGATGTCCGAATCCGGTTGGAATATAGTGAAACTTGCAGCTACACTTTCATGGTTTGAGGTAATTTTCTTTGTCTTTTCTATTATCGTTATTCTTACTCTCCTCCCTTTCATAGTTGCATTATTAAGAGATTCAAATATATGTCACCCGGCTTTACAATCTGATACACTGCCACTGCGCTATTAGAATTTCAGGCAACTCTGTGTAGGATTGAGATATTTTAAATTGATTGTGACCAAAATTATGTTTGTCTAATATTGATCAATGTTTTGGAAAAAGCTTAACTTAATCGGCCATAACATCTCTTTTTATCCCCGTTTTTACAGGTTTATCATTCCTTACCGGAAGTTGTTGTGTCATTCTATAGACGTGCTTTAACTTATCCCCTTGTACGAAGTTGGAGATTTTGCACACTTATCAAACGCGATGCTTCTTATCTTTTACAGCATACTAATAGTAAGGCTGATTAGAATTCATATTCATTTATTCTTAATGATGGATTTTCTTAAAAAATCTATCACAACTACTGGCTATTTATTGTTGCTTTTCATTGGTAATTTAAATGCCAATAGCTTTAATATTATCCCCTAAAAATCTTAAGTCTTGATTTACTGGTCGAGTTACTTGAATATAAACTTCTCAGTTATTGATTTGTATTGTACTATAATTACTGAAGTTCCAATTACAGCTTATTATGAAAATTTGTACGTATGGAGATTTTTATAAAGTACCTATGGGAGAAATCTCAGGAATACAGCTTCTTTGAAATCTTTTATTTCTCATGAAGTAAACTAAGGTTGATCTGTAAGAATGGCCTTTGGTGAACTGAAGGAAGCTCTAAAACGCCCAGAAAAAGCCGAAGACATTTCATCCAATCATCTTTTGGAAATAGCAAGAACAAAGATTCTATCAGAATAGCATGAATCATCTTTTGGAAGAACATTCCAGAATCTCGACGTGTAGCTTCCCGATTGGAAAAACGCCAAAAACCACTGCATGCGAATCGGACGATTGTAATGATGATTTTGTTTTTACTAAAAACTATAAATACCTGAGTGCGTTGTGCCATATTTGACACTGTTTGGAATAAGATTCCTTCCTACTCGTCTTTTGTTCTCTTACTTACAACTTGTAAGGTTCTGGCGTTTTAGTGCCCAGGCTTTACGCGGTATAGCAAGAATGCAAGCTCTAGATATAATTTGATCAATAACAGGTCTTTAAATAACCACTTTAGAAGTTTATAAACTTCACGTAGATTCTTATTGTTTGATGCTCAAATGCATCATGATTTCAAAAAATACCCACACATTTTCCACTGTGTAATCATCCAAATTCAGTCCACTTTCAATATACCTGTATGTAGACTCTAGCCACCTACTGATCCTAATGAGTATGAAGCACATGCATATGTCCCACTCAACTGTTTTGGAGACAAAACTAGCTTAAAATAGTCACGTGCTTTGTTAATAACAAACTGAAACATAAGACGTGCTTATTCGTATTGTGACTGAAATAATGGCATTGAATTTTTCATCTGAAAAACCATTATGTATAATATTACCCATACAAGTCAAGATCATATTAAATGATCCTTCAACCTTTATGTATACCCACACACCTCAATATGCACATGTAATGGAGGCCTGAGTAGTGTTGAGGCAGTTCAGTTCAATAAAGTCACATTTGTAACGTGGGTATATGAAGATCCGACATTGTTTCGTGGAGGAAGGAACGAAGGAGCAGAGCATAGAAATCAGAAGGTTAAGTCAACTTCTTCGAAATGAAGATGAAAAACAAACTGGAAGCTGGAATATGACCACATGACCAGCCAAGATCCCTGCATGTAAGAAATAGAGCAATAACCTTTCAAACAGACTTTTCGCGGAAAACTTATTCCTAAAAAGCGAAATTACATTCTTTTACTCATTATGGTTTTAGTTCAACATTACCTTTTTAATTCAATGTAATGATTATTCAGTGTAGTATCGTTTTGTTTTCCAATATGATATTTTATCCGGTATAACATTAGTTTATTTGAGTGTGATGTGTTTGTTTAAGATACGATAGATATTCTTGTATTAAATTAACATTAACTATATTCAGTATGACAAGCAGCATATGATTTGTTACAACTCTAAGTATTTTTCGTGTACGTGATTTTATCATTATTAATAATCAAAATGGGGTGTACAGTCAACATATAATGAGTATATTTTTGATTCGGGTCGTCTTCATGTTTTGGGGTTAATAAATCTCCACTTGTACCAGTCTTGGTGTTCTTGCTTCGTTTCGTAGAGATTGAAATGATTCCTGGTTTTTTTCCAAGTATAAGTAATAAACGGCATGAATATAATAACAACAAATAAGGTCCCATTGTGTTACTCTTCTTATCGATTGGTTGAAGGGTAGGGATCGATTGTGGATTGTACAAATCGATTATTTTTGTTACTGCGCTATTAAGTTTATCATTCGGGATGCGTATTCGTAGTATCTTATAGCATGGTGCAGTCGATAAACGTGTCAAATACATTGAAAATATTTGACTTAATAGAATTTGAGAATAATTCACTCTGTTTTGGTTACGATGTTGGCAGTTCTTTTAATTTTATGGATAATTCTGAACGGTGATTCTCGTGGCGACATGTGACCAAAGTTGACTGTGTTCAATAATTAAGCTGTTAACTTCCATTCTCCTATCCTTATTGGCAACCGAGGGCCACAAGAATCGTCGTTTAAGTTCACTTACGAAATCGAGAAATCACCTCAATGGTTGTTTACATCAGAAATTTATACACTCCAGAAGCTATCGCAATTCATCCATGCAAACCTGACTTCTGGGTGTAAAAGAGTCATATTCAATCGATTATTTTGCCACATATCCTAATTAAGAATATCTTATGAATGCTATTTCATTTTTTTTTTCTGAAGAAAATCAAATATAAAAACAGTGCAACTGTCCTCTCACGATTATTTCTTTACCTCTCTTTTGACCTTTTATCTTTCCTTCTTTTCTCTAGCCAAACAATGGTGTTTGAAGTGTCTATTAGAAATTCGTGAATTTTTGATCGCCTATCCTGGCTATCATGTATTCGCTGAATTATATCTAAATGATTATATTGTATGGATTCAGACGCGAGCATGGTTAGTTTTGTAAAAGTTCAATATGTTATTATCTGTCATGTATATGTTAAATCTCATAATTGATAGTTAATTCATTATCATACTATCGTTATCGCCTGAAAGCTCCGAGTTCGATACTTGATGGAGTTTTAGCTGTGTAATTCTATGGAGTCTCATGCCCATTCGAAACAACTATCCAGTGCTCCCTGGTTTTCAATAGTTGTCTAAACAAGACCAGTCCGTGATATAAACTATGAAAACTTAATCTCTACAAACCCCCTTTATTTTAGAGATTAAACGTTCACTCGCCCAACCGAAGGTCTTGGATCAGACGCGCACTGCTGAGAAGTTTCATACTAGAACGAAACAACTGTCGTAGTTTTCCATGGTGGTCTAACCAAAATCAGTTCGTTGTTTTTATTATATAAATTCAATAAATATACTTTTATCTAATATTTACTAAAATCTCTGACTACTTAAATGTATTTTGATAGTTTCTCTTTCATAGTTTATGTAGGCTTTCTCAATGACACTTTCTATGATACATAACATATTATTTCTTTTTGTGTATTTATTTAGTGAGTCAAATTTACATGATCTTGGCAAAAGTTTAGAAGAAGTAAGTTCATTCATCTCCCTTATGTTCAAAAGAAATGTATATCCTGGTTTATTTATTTGTTTCGTTTTTATTATGACATCTGTATATTCTAATTATATTACTTACAAGTAACTAATATTTTATTGCACAATTTATTATTTGTGTCATCTTGGTCGATTTGTAAATTAACTACATTATTATTGGTTGATGTCTCGTTTTATCCATTCCGCTTACCATCTTGAATCTTAATATTTAGTCTAAACTAATCATTGACTAATTTAGAACTGTTTATTCACTCTTGGTGACATGGCTCAGAATCGATCACAACGACGTTGGTGTATACACTCTCTGTCTTCCCTTAAACTAAGAGATTAAAATCACTTCATATCTTTCTTTCTACGTACTAATTCTTTCTTCCTGTACTATATTCTAATACACAGTCTTTCTTTTATATATTAGCACCATTGAATTAACTACTATGAATCCGGTATACATCTTGTTGTGTTAATGAGGTATCGTAACTTGGACCGATACATATATGTGTCTGGTCCTACGTTGTAGCTGACTGATTTATTCACTTATATACTGACGTTACCCTACGATTGGTCTCCATCAGCGCCTGAGCTAATGATAAGGAATGAAGTAGTTTATCCTATTTACTGCTTCACTTATGTTAGGAGTACATGTATCAGTGTTTGACTGAATATCTGACTGATCCATAAGTTCTTCATAGCCAAAATAAAGGTCTTGTTAATTTAATCAACCTTGGGTACATTATTCCAGTGAATTATACCACATTCTGATTGAAGAATGAGTTTTGATTGTTAACAAACTATTACCTTGTTCTATCATTAAAAAAATAATGTTTACAAGATTAATAATTTCATTCAACTCTATTAGTCAATCTTCTATAGTGTTAAACTAATCAAAAACAATAAATCTATAAGAATTTTCATATTTTACCTCAATATCAGTAGAATGAAGATCAGTATTAGAAAAATGTAATTGAAGTTACCTAGAGCAATGATACTAATTGCAATAAACTATTAAAGAAGAAAATGGTATGAGTAACAAGTGGAGTTAAGTAACAAATAAGGTGTTCAAAATATAAATGAATATGCTGAATTAATATATCTCCACCAATGTGACTGACTTTAATTCACTTAACATTCAAATTTCACAGAGATTTAGATGGTGGTCGGAGGTAGTCGACAGGAAACCCTGGACCCGGGTTTCGTGCTACTTGGCACTCGTCAGCAAGGTGTGCCTGTAATCTTGAGGGGACTGGTGCTCCCTGGCGGACTCGATCTCGTGTCGCCCAGCTTCACAGTCAGAGACGTTACCACTGAGCTATCCGAGCCGTGGGGATCAATTTCATGCGTGTCTAATCCTTATTAGTGCCGATCGACTGGACACGCATGACATTGATCACCACCCAGTGATCAATCAATTGTGAAAGTTCATAGAATTTGACTGTTTGTTCAACTTTTGCGTCGAGACTATAATTTATGAATAAATTAATCAGATTTGTGATAGCAAGTCTTGGATTTTAGCGCGAAATTTATTTATCTATATGGTTAAATAGCATTTTGGCATCATATCTGATGCCAGTTCGTGATGAAAACATTAACTCTAATTTCTAATCCTAACTTCTAATTCTAAATCCTTATTCTGATTTTCTATACTAGTTTATAACCCTCCTTAGACCCCAGTAAGTTGGTTAATTTTCTCAAAGTCACTTCGGCGAAGGTCAAAGGTTGTCCTTAAACTATAGTCTCACTACTTTTGCTAGGAAGCTTATGCTTTTTCTGACCTAACTAATAATGACTTTGTAGTTTGGTGTTGTATATTTGGCAATTGGAGGTAAGATCGGGTTAAAGCCTTGGATCTATGTTCTATATTGACTAGTTGAGTTATAACATGATCAATATAATTAAATCAGCGCATAAAACTAGACGGTACGGTATTGATAATAACCAAGTAATCACTTATTGTGTAAACTTCTCAGTTGCATAAGTACGGTATGATCCGAATAGCTACGTGTAAACGATTCTGACTGTGATTCAGATTTGAATCCCACGTAGAACATCATTTAACTCAAGATAGCAACACATATTTCTGACTAATTTCAAATAGTGCGGAACTTAGATTAAGAAGAGCTCCTTTTAAATCGCCTCTAATTACGTAATGTCGAACAAAATGCATGGAGTTGCTGAATCAAATAATACTAACTTGTACTAATCGGTGTTGCATCTTCTTGTAACCATCCTTTTCCATTTTCCAGTCTACTTCATTGTAAACTAGCATAGCAAACTATGGTCATAGGTGGTCGGGATATAAATACCTCATCTTCCTTTTAGCCACTCATAGTTCATAATCTCATCAACTAGCTACTTTATGTAAATGGATAAGTTGGATAAAAAGTTTTAAGATTTCATTTTATTTTATTTAAGAAATAGTTAAACAGTGAAAACATTGTTGACATAAACATAAACAAACTCACAGTATACTCGTGTCATAAGTTCCCTCCAAAACTTATTCAGCTATATTTCGTCACAAGTTCTCCTTCTAACAGAGTTCCCTTTTTTCTTTCGTTTCCATTTCCGGTTATAGTTTAAAATGAAAAAAGATTTTGTCGATTTGAACTTGAAACAAATTGAACAACTTGGTCATGAATGTTTAAAAATGGAAAAACTACAAGATTCATTAAAACAAATGTCATTTTCTATGAATGACATCGAAGATGAAAAACCGAAACCTTTACAAACTTAAACTGAAAAATGTTCAGAAATTCTTTACACACTTTCCCTTTTGTACATTTAAAAACTTATTTTATTTTCTTGTATCCCTGTTTCTTTGAAACTTACATTTCTATATTAAACTATATTTCATTCATCGAAATAAATTTATCTATAACTATAGTGGAAAAATCCCAACCTTATTCTCTTTGGATTTAAACTTTTTAACAACCATATACGTGACCATTATTAATTTACGGTTATCAAAAATCTTATAAACTACTTATAAAATAGTAAGTAGCTAGTTGTTATAACAGATGAAAATCGTATGAATTATGACTGTCTAAATCGTATGTTGATCACTTTTAACAATTGAATTGCTATTGACATGAGACATCTAATAAACGGATATCAAAGGACATAACAAGTAATTGCTAGGGAGATTTGTTTTATATGACAAGATGATACTTGCGTACAAAATATTCAACATGAAAATAACCCCACAAGTCAACATCACTTAAGGTGTAAATAACGGTGCGATATGAGTTTTGTAGAAGAATATTAAAACAATTATGATTTAAAGTTATTATTCACACCCTTCCATGCATCAAGAACTAGGTTTTTCCACCTTTGCACTCCTCAAACATTTTGCCAGAAAGTACTGATAATTTTAAAAATGATTTAATCGGTTATTATGGTTCAAAGATGGATATAATAGCCAATAATTGTGCAGCGATTAACTTTCGTATTTACGTTATTACTAGCTCGGATTCAGTTATATTCAGAGGTAATTTGTTTGTTAACATAGTATGTCTTCATGTATTTGACCAAAAAATTGTGTCCACCAGACATATTGAACATATATTACTTTACAGTTTTGAAATATAACTCAATGTTGAAGTTATGGATAGTATAATCGTGTTGAACCCTAGTGCCCTAAAATTTTAACTCGTGTATGGTGTAACCTCAGAATTAAGGAATAAAAATGTCGAGCTTGGAATACTAGATAGAGATGATGAGTCAGTTAACAAGGTTGTGAACTTTTATCAACCAAAGTGGCTACTGTGAATGTTATATACGCCTAGTCATCGCTTTCCCAACGTACTATACTGACTAATATGGATGGTAGTTGAAAATATATGAAATATCACCTACAGAATTTGATATTTTTGAATAAACTTAATCGACTACTTATAATCAAACAGCAATTTTAACACTCGCAAAATAATAACGTGTAAGGAAACAATGTGAAGAACTCACTCTTTATATAAACAGGAAAAGATTAGAACTTAGTTTAGAAGTTAATTATTCTGTATTTTGTAAACCATATTAAACAAATTAATTGTATTTGTTTCTTTTCTCTGGGGTGATTTTCATCGATATACAGTATATGAATGAAACGTACTCCATATCATGATGTTCACTGTGCAATGCGTTCTTTAGCTTATTTGTATAAAACATCATTGACTTAAAATCAAGACTCAGTAGCTGAGTGGATAACGCGATGGCGTTTGAAGCGAATGGTACTGGTTTAGAGTCCCAGAGTGAAAATCAACTCTGAGATGCAGGTACATCCAGCTGACGAGTTCTAAATAGGACGAAACGCGCGTCCTGGATTCTACTACTAGCCACTATCTATCATTGCTTACAAAAAGCTTGTGAATTAAGGCACTATCGAGGCATACGCACAGTATGCACATATGCCAATAACAGACTGATCAATTGCAGTCTTAAACCTCAATAGGAAGATACAAGCCAAACCATACCAAGTGAACATCATTGACTTAGTTGAGATATTAACATAATATAATGCACAGCTAACATATAGTCAGCTATACTGCTATCAAAACTATTTTCCTCACATAAAGCTTTCTTAAAAAGACAGATTCATTTGTTTTGTTATCTAGACATGTAGTTTGTTACATAATCACCAGCTTAAAATGATTTCTATAATGTTACTTATTCACAAAAAAAACAGTGTTTGAACATTTTGGCTAATAATTATGAAGATAAATTTCACTTGTGCTGGAAACGTATGTTGTGACAGAAGAAAACTTACTTGCTACAGGAAATCCTGATTCACACAATGCAAAGAAGAAAATAATAGACTAGGACTTATTATGCAATTAAAAGAAATCAAGGCTACGTCAGCTGAATACACTGGTTTTTATGTACTTTAATAACATTGGTCAATCGTCAGATTTATATAAATCGATTTGAGTAGTATTTTACATCGATTAATTCAAAAACTTACAGTAAGAACACAATTTACAATCTTATCATAAGATTAAATTACTGTGACCAATACATGTAACTAAGATATATGTTACTTTTTCTTTAAATATGATCACATGAATTGAAGAAAATCAATTCATAGGCCATTTGCACTCCAATAAATTAAGACGTTCCCCTATCAGATCAAGATCTAAATGAGAGCAAATTCAGTAATCTCTACAAATCATCTATACTCGTATTTAATATATGCTGTTTTTATTTTGATACCAACTGGATCACTTTGTAAAAAGACTCTTCATAATGGTTTAGGTGGATGAAATGTACTTCCCTGAACCTGATTACCATCTAGTGTCTGAAATAGACAGGTAAAGAGATATACGTATTACATTTGTGTTTTTTTTTTAAATAACCTGAACTGTTGTCGATGAAAGATGTAAGGAGACCTGGTTCTGATTTATACGCCAACCATGGGTTAATTTCTGATTATGAAATTTAAAAGCGTTACACATCCTTCTCGTCACTAAAAGGAGGTAAATTTAAATGTTCTTATTTATCATGCAAATAGTTCCTTTTACCATTTCGAAAAGAGTAAGAACAAACATTCTAGCAGAATAGTATGGATTCATTTTATTTCGTAGGTTCTTGTCAGCTGCTTACAACCTGTGATATTTAAAATCATTATTACATAATGGGTTGAAATGACTTACATGAAAGAGTTTGATTGGAAGTTATATTGAAGACATATTCGTATAGTATAGCAAGGGTGTAAATAAATTTAATAGACTGAATATTGTAAATATATACCTTGTGTGAAAGAACATTCTACAACATTGATTGTGACAACAGTTTAAAGGGCCAGATACAAGTGATGAGTAGTGAGTAAACATTGATAGGAATAAAATGAGTAGAACTCCATTGATAAAATAAGATTATTAATTTAGAAGATAGTTGTAATAAAACTCAATGATGTAATAAATACAAGAAAAATAATAAAACATTTTAAGATGTAGCGAAGGAATATTTGTCATCAAGGCAAAGAACGATTAATAACCATCTGCTTTTGAACACATAAGTCAAGTTTTTGACGCTTAATAGCAACGGTTTCAGAAGATTGAAGTTTGGCTGCATATTATTCACCTTAAAGGATTGCAAAGTATCCATTTGATGTCCTGTATCAAGGAGATGTTTAAAGTCTTCCTATCTCTTGCTCTGAGGCTTTTTGGAACATGTTCAAAAAATCTAAGATATACCCTTCTATCTACAAAGAATAAATACTTAAACTACATTCATCCTAATGATTACAGACTGTAAACCGTTATCAGTTCCCTTTATGCTAGCAAAAGGCATCTTTTAACATTAAGGCAAGTAAAATAATTGTAGAAAATTGATCATTATTATTCATATCATCAATAGTTTCAGTTCATAATGTATTACAGTGTACATTTTTATGTTCTATACCATAACCTTAACTAATGAGTACTTTTATGGAAAAGAAATAAAAGTTCCTTAAATTAAAAAGACTGAATAGTGAAGGTAATAAGAAGAAAATTTTAAAAAGAAAACCAATATACAACTACCCAAGTTCATTATGGTTGTTCCTATGGTGAGAGACCTCTCATTTTTATCATTCTTCCTACCTCTTTTTTCCCTTCCTTCCTTCCTTCCTTCCTTCCTTCCCTCCTTCCTTCCTTCCTTCCTTCTTTCTTTCTTTCTTTCTTAATTTGTTACAATGACAATATGCATTTAGTTGATTCTTTCTGTAAATAATTAACTATTTAAATTATTATTTTTATTATTTTGTTTTCTAAAAATAGACTTTTCTCAATGAAAAGAAAAGAGCTTCCTTTTTTGCTAAAAAGAAGAAAAAGATAATTAAGCGTATCCATGTAATTTTGGAAAGGATTAGAGAAAAAAAGAAATTCTTCCTTTAGTTGTTCTAGAGTTACTGTTGATCTCAAGCTCGAGTTAAGGAAAAGGATTGGGCATGGGGTTAACAACTCCGTCCCGTAGAAAAGGATTGTTAAAAAAAGAACACTAATCCGTATGATTGATTTTGTTTCTAGGTATGGTTTAAGGTTAATAAGTGAAAACTATGTTTACTAATACATGAACTTGACTTGGAGCCATATTTGATGTTTATTGGTTTAGTGATACTGTAATGAATAAAAACTAAACATGGGGAGAACCAATTTTCCGTTTATCACAAAATCACATTTAGTGAAATATAGAAATCATGTATTAAATACATCATTTGCACATCTTCTTTGTGTTATCATTTATGTACTCCATTATTCCTCTAATTCTGTTGTTATTTTGATTATCCTCCAATTTCCTTCCTGTTATTTTTCACTTTAATCTTCTACTGTTAGTCATTCGAATTCCGAATACTTCCACATACTACTTATATCTGTCAACATAAATAGCATACACCACAATACTATTTGGTTACTGAAATCATAGAAGATGGAGTGAGGTTTGAATCTGTTACTTTGTGACTTAAAACTGAGCACTTTAACCATTGATCTACTGGTTTAAATGAAAACTTTATGAAGTTTATAGTAATAAATAGTATTTGTATCATTGAGAAACAATTTTTACATTTCCTAAATGAAGATCAACTTTATAGTATAACACATATTCAAACAACACATAATTTATATCACCATAGGCTGAATTTAGCTAGATACTTATTGAAAAACAGGTATTTTTGAACAGCCAAATCAACCCATGAAGTAATTGATTGATTGTACAGTGCCATATAAGTAAATGAAGATGATCTAGTTGAAGTCTATGGGATTATCATAACTAATTGTTAAAGACTTTGAATGACACGATCATAATGAGTCAAAATAGTTTAAATGTTTTTAAGCGTTTTTTTAGCGAGTTAGTTTTCTACGGGATGGGGCCGCTAACCCCATGCCCAACCCTCCTCCTTTATCCGGGCATGGGACCGG